ATGTTTTTATACATCAAACCGATGTTATCGTGTAAAATAGCCAATGAAGGATGATTTGAAGGAAGAGCTTTTTCTTGAATTTCAAGTGCTTTTTCGTAATATGAAAGTGCTTTCGAGTACTCTCCTAAGTTCATATACACAATACCAATGTTGTTGTACGAAATAGCTAAATCAGGATGATTTGAAGGAATAGCTTTCTGTAAGATTTCAAGTGCTTTTTCGTAATATAAAAGTGCTTTCGAGTAGTCTCCCATCTTGTTATACACCATACCGATGTTATCGTATGACATAGCCAGTGAAGGTTGATCTGAAGGAAGAGTTTTTCGAGAGATTTCAAGTGCTTTTTCGTAATATGAAAGTGCTTTCAAGTACTCTCCCGTCTTGGAATACACACCACCGATGTTGTTGTACGAAGCACCCAATGCAGGACGATTTGAAGGAAGAGTTTTTTGTTCTATTTTATGTCCTTGTTCGTAATACCAAATAGCCTTTTTATAATCACCTTGATCATATTTGATATATCCTAGCTGATGATAATAATACGCCTTTTCACTCTCATCAGATGTCTGCTCAAGTAATACATTATAAAGTTCTTCAGCTTTATTAAACTGGCTAATTTTAAGTAATAACTTACCCAATCTTCGCCATCCAGTACTATCACTAGCTTCTTCTCGTATCCGATCAGTAAGTAATCGTAGTTGGTGATCATCATCCGACGTTAATTGTAATTCAACTTGATAAAGTTGAGAGTCATTGCCCATTTGTTTAATTGCATTCACTCGAAACACGGTGTGCATTGAGAAGAGAATTTCTTCTTCTTCCTTAAAATAACTTTCCTCTTTGATGGAGGCAAATGGTGTTGATTTAATACAAGGATCAATGGACATTATAAAGAGAATGCCCACCATATCCGATATTGTCGAAGCACAATCAGCAAATCCGAGGGAGACTTCTTTATCTGTACTAGTGGACAAGAAATTATTAAATGACATCAGTCCACCTTTTAATTTCTGAAGTTTTTCAAAGTCTGATTTCATAAGACCTTGTCCCCGGTAAACTATGAATGGTTCACCATGATCAGTATTAAACTGTTGTTGGTGTAGTTGTTGGATTTGTTGATGCAGACGACACATAAAAAAACCCATTGAAATAATTGCATCAGCGTCCAGTGTTCGAAGAGCATAATTGAGCATAGAATAGATAATGAATGAAGTATAACACCAAATAGCGGATTGAGTCTGGTAGGTTTTCTCAAAACGGTCAATAGTGATTGGTGACATGCTGTTATTTTTTCGACAATAATCAATAAACTGTTTGATCGCCTGTTTATCATGTTTCATATCAAGAAGAATATCCTTGAATATTTGAGTATACATAAATGTTGGTTCCAACTGATTTAAATTAACAGTAGAATCCATTTCATTTACCAGAACAAAGCTCACCGAAATTGAGTCTTGATTGAACTGCTTGATACCTATTTTTAATACTTGGCATAAGTCATCGATGTTAGTATGAACGCTCTTGATTTTTTGCCATTTTGTTGTCCATTCTTCATGTTGGGATCTATTGTTACTGAAGATATAAACACTATGCAATTGAGGGATATCATTAATTAGGGGCATTATATATTGATCCATAGTGTTTTCAAGAACGAGAAAAGACTTGATATTTTCTTCAGCATCTGTAAGAAAGTCGATACACTCGTCTCGTTGCCTAAAGATATCGACATTGCCAGTATTGGTTTGTAATTGTGTGAGAAGACTTTGATATTCTTGGTTCGCTTCATCTATACACTCATCCAAACAGAGAAGCGAATAATTTCGAACCATGCGTCGCCTTGGTTGAATAGTATCGGATAATGTTATGACCGTGTTGTTGTTATTCATGGGCGTGTTTAATGGTAAAGAAGCTTTTGGATTGAATTCTGATCCACTCATTTGATCTTTTTTATACTTGGATATTCAATATAAGTTTAGCAATAATTGTTGTTTTTAGTAAATGGTAAAAAGACTCACCACTCCTATTTATAATAGCAATGGCGTATTTTTTCAATCTTTTTTAGCTTGCTTTAACTAGTTCCTTTTTAAAATAGTGTTATGAAGAACAAGAAATAGATAAGTATAAATAAATTTTTTAACAACGTTTGCAACAGAGCAAAATGATTTCGTCTAATAGTTATTCTTTCCAACTTTTTTGGCCTTATCTATGCAATTACTTCAATATGCCATCGATACTTTATCATTAAATGAAATAGAATTAGAAACATGATTCCTTCAGTGAATATTACTTCTCTTTCTCATACACCATTTGTTAGAACAAAAGGACTGTATCAGTGAAGTAGAAATAGCTATTGATTCTAGAATATCGAAGGTATTTTATTATTGTTCTGTTCGAAAAAGAAAAGTATTGTGTACAAACAAAATTAAAACAGTTGTATTGTACATAGTTTTTAAAAATTACAAAATGGTTAGACCTAAAGATATTAGAAATCTTTCCCACAAATGATAATGTGGTATATTATCTATCACATTTGCTAACTCGAGTCTTATTATTTCAACATAGAATACTATTTATGTACGGAGAAAAAAATTATCACACATTCATAATAGTAAAAATAGTTGAATATAAACGTATTATCGCATTGTTACTGGCAGTTGAAAAATGAGCTTACGTACAAGAGAGAAACAGTCGAAAGTTTATTGAATTGTCTATGAAACGATGTTGTTATTTAAACAAGAGCAAATCTTTTGTGTGCGGTATTCCACTGAAAGTTTGTTTTACCATCAGAGCGACTAATTCATAAAATGATTTTTTTATCAAATCGTGTACTGTTTATTCTTTTATATATCAGTACAACTGTTTTAACATAATATGGATGATCTTGTTGTGATCAGCAGAATAGTGTGTATATATAGTAATCGAGATTACCAAAAGTGAATGAGAACGATATTCACAAAATTTTATTTAGTCAAAACATCTTAAAAGAGTAATTACTAACGCTTTCAAACCATACAGAATTCATGCAAAACTTTGCATCATCGAGGGTGTGAGTGTGGGTAGACGTGAGTATTATGTCCATCTCACACCCACACCCGAGCTTCGCATCACATTTCGAAGACGCGTTCCGACTCGTGTGCTATCTATTTATAATAAAATGGGAAAAGAATTGAAATATGTAGATCAACATCAAAGCCGTTGAATTTATTATTAATAGAGTTCAAAATAATATGATCGACGAGATTCTATAAAGAATCGCTTATAACTTAATTTGAGTTATATTTCATTAGAATATGACAATAATGAAAAAGATTCATTAATTTTGTTTGTTTTTTGTAAACTTGACAATGTATTTCAAAAAAAACAGACAAATGTTATTAATATATAAAAAACATACAAAACAAAAAGAAAAAGTAAATATATTTATATTGCAATGCATATAAAAAAACACCTCATCAGATCAAGTTCTTCCATTCGATCGATACATTTGGACAAGATTCAAAAATCTAATTAGACTTTTATTATCAGATGATTGATTTTTAAATAATTCTGTGATCTAATATTAAATAAAAAAGAAAGTAAATTAAAAAAAGAAGAATTTTATTCAATAAAACAAACCTCTTCAACATGCAAACATAAATATTCAATAAGATTATCAATAATTGAATAATCTAATTCAAATGTCTTATTAATACCCTAAGGAATAGAAAATAAAAGATTATATAATTAATAATTTTGGAAAATATATTTTTTACTGTATTCGTTGATGAATATTCCGATGATGAATGTTTATTATTTAGACGTCGTTCTAAATTTGAATAATGTAATCGAACACGTTGAATTTCATCAGCAAATAATAATGTACAATTTTGAATATTCTAAAAAAAAGTTATTTCAAAATAAATAAATATTCATCTAGAATTTTAACTTACTAAATTCAACTTAATATTATCATTATTTGTTAATTCATTACATAATAGACAATGTTGTTCATTTGGTTGACAAGAACAAGCTATTTGAAAAATAGTTGCAAGTATATCAAATGAACTATTTAAACATTTATCAATTGTTAAATCAAATAAACAATTGAAATTTTGTAAAATAAATGGAATATAATGTCCATAGAATATATGTAAAAAACGTGAATATTGTTCAATTAATTCACTTAAATATATATCACTATGAAGAAAATTTGTAAATAATGTTTCAATAAGATTGATTAATATTGAATGTATAGTAGATTTTGTTTCAAATAAACGATAAGTTTCACTTTGATTATTATTCATTAATAAGTGATCGGATTCACCTATTTCTTCATATGTATGATTTAATAAATGGAAATAACATGTACGATCTATTTCAATTGCTGATGATTGGATAGAATTCGGTGATAATGGAAGAGCTATTATATAATTAAACATTTTTTCTTGATCAGTTGAACAATATTGACAATCAAATGGATTTCGATGGAGTGTTTTTTCTGCAATAGAAAAAAAAAGAATATTTATATAAACTCGATGATTAAGAAATATGAAATTCAATATCGAACTACACCGAAATAAGCATCTACGATAGTATTTTAGCTCAAGGAAGAATAATTAGTTCGATTATATGCTATTTTATTTGATAAACTCAATATTTCATACTCATTGTTCAATCTCAAGATATACCGAAACATCGAATTCTTTTCATTTTTATATTCACAGATCGATAACTGAATCACGTATGATTCAGTCACGCAAGCATTCCTTTAAAAAAGACAGAGTTTTATGAGACGATGGTTATAAACTCGAAAAATCGATAATACATTCGAAAATTTCGTTCTTCTTCAAATTTAAAAGCACAGTTATATCACCTAGTATCAAAAGTTGCTCAAAGTTCTAAACCTATACTTTATTCTTAAGCGCATACTTTTCAAATATCAGTGGCGGATTCTGGTGGGCAATCGCCCCCCTGTAGAATTTGTTTTTGATTTTTTACAGCAAAAATAGATTCATACTACCCCTATTGGACCCAAAAATAGTTTTCAGCCGAACGCGCCCCCCTCCCCTACTCCTGCTAAATATGAAGTTTATATTTAATAACATACTTAAATATGAGTTATAATTTGATTGATTAATTTTATTCGCTACAATCATTTTAAATTCATAACCATCATTAATAACTCCATAATGTTGTAATGTATTTAATTTTTTACAATGATTTATTTGTTCATTTGTATTATCAATATCATTTAATAATAATATAATTGAATCTCTATATGATGAATCATTTGATGCTGATGTTGTTGTTGTCGTTGTTGTTGAATATTTATTTTTTTGATTAAAGAAAAATTGTGTTAACATAGATTTTTTTGCTAATGGTACATTTGATGATGATGTTGTTGATGATGAACATGATGATGTTGAACATGATTTATTATTTGTTAATAAATATAATTGACTATCATTTATTGATATAAAATGTAATTTTTTATATAAATTTAATTGATAAAAAATCTTTTCTTTAACTTGTGTTATTGTATCACATGATAAACATGTTACATGTAATAAAAGTAATTCATTTGTTTGATTATTTAAATCAATATGAACAATAATTTGAATAGAATTAAATAATATTGATTGATCATGTAAAATTGTATTATTATTTAATGAATAATATGAACATGTTTGTTCAATAGCATCAATAGGACCTGAAAAAATTTTTGATTTTAATTCATAATAAAGTTGAAATAATAATGATGTGATTTGATTTGTTAAAAGACCATCATAAGCTGTAAGTAGACAAATATTAAAATAAATTGAATCATTATTAAATTGTAAAAATTTCTTAAAATGATATCGTTGTGTTAAAAGAAAATTTGAAAGAAGTTTTTTATTATTTGATTGTAATAAAATTTTATAAAAATATTCAATAAATTCTTCATTATTATCAATCAAAAATTGAAATTGATTTATTATATCATGTCTTATATTTCCTTTTGGTATATCATAAGATGGGATTGAGAATGATTGATCATTGAAATAATAATAATAACATAATTGTAAATAATTTATATATGAACGTATTGGTATAGATGGTAATAATGATGAATCAAGTACAGTTGAATCAAGTATGGGAAGTTTTTGATAAGTTTTATTTAGAAGATTATCATTATATGTTTCTTTTTCATTATCATGAGAATTCATACCAGCACCATATAAATAACGACGACGAGATTTTTGTTGTGAACACCGTATTCTTATACAGACGATAAGAAGAATGATTAGAATGACTGATAACATTGTTAATAAACATCCACTTATGATACCTAAAGAAGAAAAACGAGAGATATTAAAATCAAAGTATAATAATTCTTCATCAAGTCTTATGATTGAGACTGAACACTGTGAGTGTAAGCTATAAGTCGAGATTTTGCGACTCTCCCTCCTTCATTATAGATCATAACAAAGGTCATTGGGTGCCAATGAAGGCGTAGGTGACAACTTAATAAATCACCCACCCTTGTATTCTTAAAACTTATTTCTTGCAAAAAATCGAATTAATATCTTACCAAGAATAATAACCTTCTTTGGGTAAATCATATATCCAACATGTGAATGTATATTATCAATAGTAACTATAATCCATGGATGTTCTGAATCATAACAAAGACGATTATTTTTTGAATATTTTTTCGGGCGATACGCTGGTGGTTGACATACAATTTTATCTACTTGAAAATGAATTATATTACATAGATCACATCCAATATGAACAGTAATATCATTTTTAGTATGACCAACAGCTGTTAAATTTGAACCATGAATAATTAATTCATTTGTATATGTTTGTAACATTGGTTCAAGTTCATAAATTATTGGATCATTTATATAAATAATTGATGATGTTTTATTAAAATGATCTAAATGAATAATAATTTCAATATCTTGTTGAAAATCATGTTCATCATTTAAATGTAATTCTTGTATTGATGGTGTTAAAAATATGATATGTGTCCTATTATATAATAATGGTGAAACAAATATAATACGTTTAAATTCTAAACGTATATTTTGTATTGTATGAAAATTTTCACCATGAATAACTATATGATGACCACCACTTATAAAACTTTGATATTGATTATATTCATCGAATGAATATAATATTGGATTAGAAACAATTGTAAAAGGTTTTTCAAATTTAAGTTTTGTTTGTCGATCAAAAAGAAAATTTATTGGTTGTTGTTCATTTAATATTAATGAAGAAAATGTTGATGTTTCACATTGAATTTTAAGACGAGATATGGATAATAATTGACAAGGACGATTACCAATTGATACTGATATATGACTATTACCTAATGTTAAATTTTCACCAAAAATTGTTAAAAGTGTACCACCACTTTCAATACCAATAAGTGGTTCAATAGAAGTAATTATTGGATTTACATATGATATTATTTGATCAGATTGAACATGTGGACCATGAGAACCGAATTTTAAATGTATCGGACCACTTCGTGATAGCATACCAGCATCACCTGATTGACAAATAATTCTAAAACAAAAGAATAGTTCCATTAATCAGAAAGAATACAGACAACGGATATTCGCCTTCCTCCTCATTTTTCGTCCATACCCTCATCAAGAAAATTTAATGTGTTAACTTACTTATTATTCGAACTTTCTTCTTCAATTAATAAACATGGTACATCAATTAAACTTATAGATATATTAAATAAATCAAAATTTTTTCCTTTAATTGTTACTAATGTTCCTCCATTCATTGGCAGTAATAAAGGTTCAATATCTTGAATAATAGGTAATAAACATTCTTGACTTTGTGGACAATTCAATTGATTTTTTAATGTTTGATTTTTAAACATACACATATTATTACACCAAATACAACCAAATGATGGATCAAGTTGTAAACATGATGTACAATTAAAACCCATACGTTCACAATCATATAATGAAATATGTGTACGTGGTATAATTATTGATGTTTTATTTATTAATTCAATTGATAAATCAAGATGTAATGGTCGATGAAATGATATTTGAGAGAATTTCTCGGAATTTATTAAATCAAATGAACATTTTATAAAACATAGATGATTTTCATTTGTTGATCTAATAAATGTTGGATTTAATGAAGTAAATTTTAAACGTTTACGATTATCATTTAATTGACAAGAATTAATATTTAATTCTTCATTACATTCTTCCATATGTATAATTAAATTTTTCGTATTATTATAAGCAAGACGATTTATTGGTTGTTGTAAATAAATAAATGGACATTGATTTGAATTTAATATCAAACGTTTACGATGAATTAATAATGTTTTTTTATTTTCATAAGATATACAATTAACTGTTTGAATATTCCATAGACATTGATTAGAATATTTCATACATGATGAACATGAAAGAAAATTCGAACAATTTACAAATAATACATTTGAATATCCAAATGTTAAATTTGTGTTTAAATGATATAACGATAAAACAATATTATAAATAGCTAAAAAGAAAAGGATATTTTTATTTTAGAATAAATAGGAATTCATTTCTTACATTGATTCATATTAGATAATACGGGTGGAAAACATTTTAATGTTTTATCATTGACAAGAACAGCATTTGTATGAAAAAGAATATTTTTTTTATCAATTAATTCAAATTGACATTGATATTCATCAAGATTATTTTTCAATGGAATATTTAAAATAATTTCTAACTAAAAATGTTTTTCATAATTTAAAAAACTTATTCTAAGCAAAATTTTCTTACGTGAATATCTGATGATTGTAATGATATTGTTTCAGGAATAACTCGTTCGATATTTGTACACATATTAATATCATTAGTTTTTCTATATTTATAATTTTCATTTGTACATTCAAATAAAGGTGTACATCTATAAAAAAAAATATCCTGATATTTTATTTTGGAAATAAATAAATCCTACCTTTTCTCTTTCGAACACCAATGACAACGATCAATCTTGAAACATTCATCACATGTTGTATACTGTTCACATGTACTTAAATTTTGTTTGATGATCTAAATAACAATATAAATCGTTGTATTCGAATAACAGAACTGTTATATAGATCGAACTTAGACAGGGGCGCGTGGAGTGTTAAATCAAACTTATAGACAGTGTCTCCGATTAGGGGGAGGGAGAGCTTAGCCCCCGCAAAATTCGGAAAGCTGTCTGTCAAATTTTAAGAAACTTTCTAGCAAAGTTTTTAAAAGTTTTGCTGAAAACTTGATCAGAAAGCTGGTTTTTATGCTATTGTCGCCATTTTTCCGCCAGAAACTCCAATAAAAACACTTTTTGCGGGCAAAATTCCGTAGAAAGTGTATAGCTTAAGTATTTTCTACGTTATATGCGTCAGAAAGCTGTATGACGGCACTTTCTGGCAAAATTTGTCTCCCCACACTTTTGAAAACAATCGGGAACCCTGCTTATAGATTTTAAGTTAATTTTTTTGCAGAATGAAAAGATCATTCTCTTTAGATAAGTCATGCTGATTTATAATATGTAAATATTCTTTTTAAACTTTGCCTCGAAATGAAATCATACAAATACAATTAACACATTATTATATAGCTGTACTTTTTTTTTACACTCTGATGATTTTCTATCTACAGAGAAAATCTTATATTCATCATCGAAATGAAATTTTTGAATAAATTATTTATTCGATTTTTTTCTCATGTCTTGTTAACATATACAATTAGTTCTATTAAGAGAAAGAAAGATTTGTATTCTTACTTGATTATTAGTCAACACGAGAAGATTAGCATTTTTTAATAGCGGTGTTTTATAAATTAATTTCAAATCGATTATTATCGATAATGGAAAATTTTGTTTATAAACGTCTTTTCTATTTGATGTTTGGAACTATTTACAAGAAAAAAACAGTAATTTTATTTATAAGAAAAAAAGAATGAAATCTTACTGTATAAACAGTTCCATTATCATCACCTACTAAAATCATAACATCATTTTCAATTGAAACGATTTCAATCGCTGTAAAATTGACATTTTCATTGAATTCAATAATCGGTTCAATTTGTTCTAATGATCGATGACCACCAATTGGATATTGAAAAAAACTATCATCATCATCTGGACAATAATCATGATTGATTTCATTTAAATTCTATTTCATATTAGAAAAAACAAATTATAATGATTTTTTTTCAATATTCAACTTACTTTATTTGATACACAATGTGTATCCGGGCTAATAAAACCTAAACCACGATAACCTTTTCCATCGACAATACAACGTTTTATTGTTTGAAAAAAAGCTTCTCGAATTGAATGAATTGAATATGCACATACAGCATGTCCTGTATGTGATGAATTCGCTAATGTTGTATTACGAAATATTCCATAGAAAATATTTTTTTCTTTAGAAAATTTTCCTGTAACTAAATAATGATAATTATTTCCACATGTTATCGGTATTTCAATATAACTTTTAATAATTGATTGTTTTAATGTTTGACAAAAACGTAAAATTTTTGTTTGTAATTTATATGTACGTGTATGATGAATATCAGATTGTTGTATTGTGAGAAAATAGGATATATTTCGATGTTCAAATCCATAGATATATGAAAGAAAAAAATCTTTTATTAAACGTATATTTAATAAACGTAATGTATATGTTGATTGTTGTAATGCTGATTGACCAGAATTTAAATTAAGTATTGATAAAAAATCTTTATCAATAAATCGTCCACTTATTGTTGGAATTTCATAAAATGGATCACATAATGGATCATATGTATTTGATAAATATAAAATATGATTATTTTCACTAATGAAACCAATTGAAGGATAAAAAGGTGATGATGAAACAATACGATGAGAAGAATTTTTTATGAAATTAAGATTAATTAATGAACGTAATTGACATGAACCACCACGATTTGATGTTGAACATATTAATACTGTATTGTTAATTAATAAAAGTAATTGATTAAATGTACTATTTACTGATGGAAATAAATATGATGTTGTTGGAAAATAATAACTATTTGATAATAATGATGATGTTTTATTTGTTATTAAACAATGATTATCATTTTCAATAGGTGAAAGATTTATATCGGATAATATTGATAAATCACTGGCATTTAATGAATAGATATGATTAACAGATGCTAAAATAATTGTATCAGTTGTATCATCATAAATAAAACGTTGTAATGGATTAGAAAAACGTATTTCTATTGTTTGAATGAAATTTATTAAATTAATTAAGAATATTAGAAATATTTTAATATCCATTATATGACATGGAAAAGAGAGATAATCTAGAAAACAGAAAGAAAGGAAAAAATAAGTAAGTTTAATGAAATGATTCGTTGTCTTCGATTAAGATTGAATTACTATGTTGAAAAACGACCGAATATATACATACGCGTGTGAATAGATAGAAATCATCCAATTTACAGCTTGCTCGCTTCTTCTAGTACGATGAACTTAACATTATTAGTCGTTATGAGAAAAAAAAGAACGAGAAAAAGATTTTGAAAATAATTCAAGCATGCATAGTACATGCTCATCTTATATTCATATATATATATGATCGATCAGGCAAGAGAAAGAGAGTGAAAGGATTGATGCACGTTTTTTTATAGATGATGCAATGGATATATGAAGCAGATTGGAAAGAATAATCTTGTCTTTTTGATAATTAAACAAATGTGTGAAATGGATACCAAAAGAAAGAAAGAAATCAACGAATGTACGAATGAATGAATGGATGAAAGAAACAAATGACGATAAAGATTTTCTGCTTTTATAAAAGATCAATCATAGCATAAGACGAAGGTTATCGCATTTTGTTCACTTATACATTTTCACGGTCAAAATAATGAGCGGCGTTTAAATATATGTAGATTAAAACAAACAAAAAATATAAATGGATCATTCAAGAAGAAGAAGAAGAAGAAGAGGAACTTAAAATAATACCTCTTTTCTACTTATTGTGTTGCTATGCTAAGTATGAGTACGAGAAAATGGAATGAATTGATCAAAAACATAAGAAAGAAGAAAAAAAAGAAAGAGAGAAGGTTAAATTTAATTAGTTGTGCAGTACAAATTAACAATGAACAAAACAGAAATAGTTCTTCTTCTTTTTTTTTCTAAGCAAAGACCAATACCAATTATCAACGAGGGATGTCTCGCCGCCTCATGTCATATATGTCATCAATGGTTAGTATCATCTCAAGCGTTTAAATATATATATGTATATCCACACACATACGATTTCACTCACCACCCATTATTATTATCGGTGTCTATATACACGAAAAGATCGTTTTATCTGTCTTTCTTCTCTTTTCTTTTCTTTTTTTCAAAGAATGTTTTCTCTGTATTATTTTAATATGATAATTCTAGAATAATGCTTAGATATAAATATATAAGAAATTATAAAAGAATGAGAAAGATCCAGATGACAGAATCTATTTGTATATTAAACAATACATTTATTCGTGTGGAATCAATATGTTTTGCATACGTTAACAATACAAATAATGTGAAACAATATAGAGTAAGTGTTCGAATGCGTGTGTGTATGTGTGTTCGATCGAGAGTAGGAAAAAAATCAAATCCGGAAAATAGACTCACACCGGAACATGTCTCAATTACTCGTCAATACACGAAAGAAGCAACTAAAGTCATAGTAATAGAAGTAGTTAGACACAATACCTGGGAAATAGACAGGCGACAAAAGGAAATTCGACAATCTCCCGAGAGAGTCAAACGACGGCAAGACAAAAGACGACGAGAATTGGATGTTCATCTCAATAGTCAGACGTTAAATGAGAAGAGAAAAAGTGAGAAAGAGAAAAAAATCTAATCGATTTCCGTTTCACATTGTTTTTTTTACTGATGGACATTATATTTATTAGACCTTCACGTGCATATACAATACTAGTGACATTCAGAAATTAAAGTAAAAAACTAAATATATTTATACAATGGCAACAACTGTTAAATCTCTCACCTACCATTTTAATTACATACAGACAGTAATAGATTCATCTAAATACGTCAAACTGTCGAAGGGAAATAGAAGTCATATTGATGAAGATGAACATTCGTACTGATGATTGTCTATGTATCAAATATCAGCATCTAGTCAAGGCTCTTCCTTATTCTTCTATTCCATAACAAACTACTATCTCATCATCATCATCATCATCATGATCATTATTATTATTATTATAGATAAGCAATCAAGCAATACTGAAAACAAATTGTTTCTACTTTTGCTACTCTGTTCAAATTCAACATACGTCAATCACTTTATGATAGACAGACAGAACGTAAGAGTAAGCAAGAAAGAAAGAAAGAAAAAAAGATCGATTAGACATCTCAAACTGTGTTTAAAATAAGTACTATAAAATCAAGCTGTCTGACATGTTCACAACGAATAGGTTGATTCCCTCGCGATGACGCATACAAACTGATGATAGTAGCGTAAAGGATTAGACGACACATAACGCGACTTTAACAAGCAATTAGATTCGCTACAAAACATATATGTACACATCGATTTTATATTTCATGTATGTAAATACATTCCTCTTGTGGCATAGCATGTCTGTGACGCGACACACTCACAGACACACACACAGACACATATACATGCACACATGCACACTCAAGCATCACGCGATCAGAGATGAATAGAAATGATGGTCAACTCTTCGCACAGTTTTCATGCCGCTTCTATATACACACAGATATAAAATGAATATTAAAAAAAAAACGACAGAAAGCTAAAGAAGAAGAAGAAGAAACTAAAAAAAGAGGTCATAATCGTTTACTATCATTGATTTGATTCGGAAAACACTGACATCCGATTAGAGGAGAGGAGAAATAGACAAGCATAGAAATCAACTGACCACTACCATTATTATAAGAGAGAAGATTGCATTATCAAACGAACATCGGCGACAACCCAATACAGATTCATATAGTGTAATTGTGTTAGTTATTCTAATTCGACACTGTCTTTGTATTTATTCTATGTGTGTCGATTTCGGCCGTGAACAATTTGATTTATTCATCATGTTGTCCGTCGGCCGTCTCAAGCATGTGTACGTGCTTATGCGTGCGACGTCGATCATTTTATGTCTAAAGCAAATCATAAAGCAACTTCTAATGTACAATCATAACAAATTAGATATTTTTCTTTTACATAATTCTGCGCTTCAAAAAGAAAGAATAATGAATAAATAAATGGTATTGTACTTCTTCCACTGTTCAATGAATATACAAAAAAAACAGAGGCAGGAGAGAGAGAGAGACATAGAGAGGAATGAAGATATGTATATCTATCTATCTTTTTTTTTGTTGCTTCTCTTTCCTACTATAAACAACAATTACTTATGTAAACAATGTATACTACTGTTATCATCACCAACAGCGCGATGCTAGGCTGCTTACAGCATTTTCTATGTTAGATAGTAGTAAGAAGCGCAGCAATCTTGTCTCGTTTACATGAAACTGTAATGGAGTTGAAATGACAACGACAGCAATAGTTCCCTTCATTAGTCTCATTGACGGTGATGTAATCACTTTATCTATAATTTTCTTCTTGTTGTTTTCTCTCATTTTTCTTTTTAAGTCAAGCAATGAAATAGTATATGACATTGAACTAAACTATGCTCATCATGTTTGAATGTAAATATATGTTGGTCGACCAGATCTCATTCATTATATAATAACTCTTTTTTTTATTGTATGTACCCACATGCGCGCTTAACCACTAGTCATCATCTCTGTATTTCGAGCACATTAATCTTTTGTTCTGTGTATACATTCTATATTGACACTGAAAAAGATGGATATACTTGAACTAAACACCAGCAATATGAGCAATCGATCTCGCGTAAAATCTTGTCAAGGACAATGATTAGATAGAGTGAAACAAAAAGTTTCAACTTACTTCTTCATTATTGATAGAATAGCATTGGCTATCATTAGGGTGGAGCCATCACAGTGTGCATGCAGTACTAGTAGTAATAGAAGTAGTAGTAGTAGTAGCAGCGGTCATAGCGGAGATGTGATGCAAGATCCGAGACGCCACAGGCGAGCATCGTAGAAAAAAGAGAAGTAGTTATCTCCTACAGTCATCAGATCAATCGTCAACAATAGGTCGAATATAGAAAAAGAGAATGAGAATGAGAGAAAAAGCAAGAAGAACAAAAAAAAGAAGAAGAAAGATCAGGCTAATCTCAGACGTGCTGACGTCTTACTTTCTCATAAACAATTTAGTAAAATTTTGTTCTTAAAGACGACAAAAAAAATTAAAATCAATGATGTGCTTTGAAGATGATCAGGTATCCGACTTAACATGATGATGTGAAAAAAAATAAATATTTATATACATATATATGTGATACGAGATTTTCTACTTAGAAATCAATGTTCATTTAGAACAAGAAATGATATCTTTTCAAATAAAAAAAAAGTTTTAGATAAGAGGAGAAGAAGAAAAAAAAAGAAACGTGCTTTCATGACAAAAGCACGTTTTTACAATGATACATTATTATAAATATCTGTACTACTCGCTTGATCACCTTTACTGTCCGAGAGGCAGTTCATATACATCAATAATGATATGATGATGAAGATGATGATGATGATTGCATCCATATTATATTGCGAGTTTGTTCAGTGAGATGACAAGACAGACATGCGCTTTTTTTATGTCAACCGTATATGCAATATGACATAATCATAAGTCGAAATCTGTCTTATTTATTATTTCATTTCTCTAGTCGAAATCTAAATACTCAATGAATAACTAAAAGCTATAATGAATATAATATAATTTATATAGTGTATATACATATATATATATATTTGATAATTCTCAAGTATTACACAATAAATACATCATTTACACGGTTCATCAAACTAATTGACAGACAGGAAACTTACTTGTCCAAATATGTGAACGATTTTGATAATATAATTAAATATGAAAAAGAAAATAATTAATACAGGCTTGGTTTGGTCGTAAACGAATTTATCAGAGAATGATAATGGAACAGTGGTGATAATGTCCAATATTTCTCTTCTCTTTCTTTGCAAGTATAAATATATATATATATATATATATATATGTATATATGTGCATACATATATACATACATATATGCGCTCTCGGTATGAAGTTGTTACAACAAAGCGACGAATAGAACGAGCTAAGTCATTAAAACAGGAGGTACTCTCTTTTACGAGTACTGCATTGTTGAAACAAAATGCATCGTTCAATTGTAATGGGCGTATATAGGAAAAAAAGGAGGAGAGGAGAAAAAAAGAAGAAAAAAACGATTGACGTTCTTTAAAGTGGCTTCGATATGAATGGAGACGACGAAAATGAAGAAGAAGAAGAAGAAGGGCGGCAATAGCGGTCAGTCGATCGATTTCTTTCATCGATTGACAAGACAAAAACGCAAATCTATGATTATCTACATAGGACTTAAAATTAATTCATACAAAATGAATTATTTCTAAAGAGCAAAAAAAATATATAATCGTTATACTAGTTTTTTTTCTATAATATTATTGTAATGTTAATGATAATGATAAAAGAAAAGACATTAATGTAAATAGTTGAACGAAAGTAAAATAATTAGGTCAAATGGTTGTCGCCGCAGGAGACTCAACTTTTTTCTTTGTCCATCTGCGAATGTATTTTTCTATTTGTATAGAAAGATAGATCAAATTCCTCTTACAATACTTTTAGAGTGTAAATGACAATTAGAAAACCAAGGACAAATATGATGTAAATGGCAAGTAACAACCAAAACTCGGAAATCACACTGTCACTTGAAGATACGGAAACGGTACTACTTGTGTCTTTGACCGGATTAAACAAGTAAAGAAAAGAAAAGAATTAGAAAATGGATGAAAAGACTTCCCACTATTCATATATTTAAGGTCCGTTGATCATGATGTCCTTACCGTTGTCATCTTTGAAAACTAGAGAATATTATATTCAACACTTGTTGTTCTCTCTATTATAATGCATGATGCAAATGACTACAACTATTACTGATAGCCGATGGCGTTGACAATGATGAGATGAATATAATACATACAGGTGCTGTAAGAGCATCAAAAGTGAAGGAGAAATAATTGAAGAAAAATAATATAAAACATGAGAATTTACTCTTTAGACCAAACATACCTAAAATGATCTTTTATTTACCTTACAACATTCAAGAGTTCTATTCGCAACCACTCAATCTAATTGATAACACATCTCATTTGGAAGCCAAACGATCTATGAGGTTGATGGTCTGTATTTCAGGACAGAAGAAAAAACGCAAGACAATAGAGCGAGAGAGAAAGAAAGAGAGCAAGGGAATAGGTACGACCACCAATTATATCATCGCATGATGCACACTCTAGTGTTGACTGACTAACTGACCAGTGCCAAGTATCTTTGTGTCACGCAAGTATTCGCCAAAGGACATTGAAGATCAAAGTATTGAAGAGAATTGAACAATTAAAATATACAGTAACTTTTTTTTCAATGTGTATTCGTTGACCAGAAGTGTTTTTACAGTTGATCAGCTGAGTTATAGAGGAAAAAAAAGAAAAATGTTGAGAAAACTGTTATATGTTTTTGATTGAGCCATTCATCATTTATATGACATGAGCATGTATTGGTTGATGTTTGTATAAGGTTCAATGCTATGTTAGATAGACAATTAAATGACTTTTTCATTTGCTACTGTTGATATATCTGTTTTCAATTTGATTGCAACTATCCACTTGAGAAGTAAAACGATAAGTTAAAAAGACACCAAATAAGAAGAAAAAAAAAGGAAAAGAAATATTAAGATGTGCTCTATCTTGATGAACGTGCTTTTTCTTTTGGTATATGATGCTGACTCGATCTAACTAATGAGTTTCTACGATATGATTAACTGCTTGTTGAACCGTGATCTACTGTGGCCTTGTGCCGCCGGTAGGGTCATCTTTTTTTTCTCATGAGAATGTATATATATATATAAATGTATGTTTGTTACAAAAGGCAATTAGTTTGGTGATGGTAATATACGAGGCCGTGACTGTTGTGTTTTCCGGCTAAAAGAACTTGAAGTGTTTCCCCTCGTCTAATTATGCATATGCACAGATGGTTAGGGTATCGAAATTCATTCAAAGTGATTTTATGTGTGTGTGTGTGCTGATTTCCTCGTTCACTCACTTATTCACTAAATTGTATCATTCGCATTCCGCCTCCCAGCGGTAATCAAAGTGCGCGCGCACGCACGCATACACATCTATCGAGTGAGAAGACTTAAATATTCTCTCATATTTAAGAACAAAAGAATGTGATTCTACCATAAATTTATCTTTAAGACGAGTCAAAAATCTTTCTTTTCTAATATACCTTTATTTTAATACAGTCTTCTAGTTATTTTTATATTAGCGGCATTCAATTATTGATCGTTATTCCATCTGTCAAAAGATAATAGTTGACATGCAAACACTATATATTGCCATTGACGTGTTAGTTGATAACAATAAATTTCGATCTATTTTAAAACTAGATATAGAATTCCCTTGGAATTCAAAATATAATTGAATGAACATCAGTGTTCGTTGAAGCGATGAATAATAGAAAATTTACTTGTTAAACAAAAAATAGAGAGATAAAATTCATGTTCTTGATCGTCTTATAAGAGCTTAACGAAATAATACATTATTCATCTAGTGTAAAACATCATTAACATTCTGGTCATAAGAATTCTATGTATGTCAGTTATCTTTAATTTCATCATATATTTTACTTTCAATGAACAGATAACAATGTAACTATCTTATGATAAACATTTTATTAGTCACACCTCTACTTGATTCAGAATATATTTGTCATGCTTTCTATTTTTTATATAATCATTTAATTACATTAACAAAAACAAAATTGATAAATAGATGAATTAATATTATTACACTGATTAAAAAAAACGTTTTTTTCATTATTATGAATTATTGAAGAAAAGACTAGAAATTAGAATGAATAAATATATACAAATGATGAAGATGTATCAACTATTATAATCGTTCATTTTGAAAATCGTCTTCTTCTTCTTCTTCTTTTTCTTCTTCTTCTTCCTCTTTTATTTTTTCTTCCTTTATTCGTCCTTGCTTAATATCATCAATTGTAGCCCATAAATCAAAAATAAATTCATCCGAAAAATTAAATGTACCAATTTCTGAATTATCAATTGCTGTCGCAAATTCACTTGGATTCTTTTTATTTTGTGCAAGATCCCAAATTTGTTGTGCTAAAATAAATAATAAAAATATATTTTGAATCTAAAAATATTTTAGCTTATAAACTTACCAAGATCTGAATCATTGATGCCCATAAATTTTTCAAGAAGACCATTGATACGATCAATAGCTTTAGTCATTGTATCATCAACATCTTCAATACTTGCTTGACCATTAGCTTTAAAACGAAGAGTTTTTGTACCACTTTTAACATCACCTGATTTACGACCACGATTAGCTGGTTCAACGTCTATTCAGAAAGAAATTATTTTATGAAGTACAAAAAATATCAATCTTATTAACATACGAAATCCAAATGAATTTGGTTCGATGAGTCGTATTTTAATTTTTGAGCCAACAGGAATATTTTTTAATACATTCGCTACTTCAAAATGTCGTACACCAACAATTGATTTATCGTTTATTTTTTCTATATGATCACCAATTTTAACAAGATTTTTAAGTCGATGCATAGTACTTCCTTCAACAATTCGTTTAACAAACGCACAACCTAATTCAAAAAATAAATGTTTTATTTTTCGTTAGAAAAAAGAAAAATATTAAAATAATAACAAACCTGCTCCATTATCTGCAATAGTCAATCCAAGAGATGGTTCTGATTTAATAACTTCTATTTCCTTAGCTTGTCCTTTAACATGTGCAAATATAAAATCATCTAAATTAATTTGTCCACTTAATAATTTATCCATATCAACTTTATGCGTATTTAATGTACAATATAAAATCTTAAAAATAAAGAAAAAAAAATATATTTTTTTGTTTTATTTACAATAAACAAAATTTACCGTTGATGCTGGTATTTCAAAACAATCGGCTATTTTCTGATATAATTCTTTTAAATTACCAAAACCTGACATAAGGCCAGTTGGACTTCCATGTGCTAATTGACAATGAAATACAAGTTTTGATTGATCAATACGTTTATCATTATTAGATGATTTATTAGATGAACGACGTTTACTTGGAGGTAAATTTTCAGAAGTTGTATTTGGAGAGGCAGTATTTGTTGTAGCGGATGAATATGATGTTGATATGGGAATAACATTATCTTTTTCCTTTTTTTTTCTTTTGAATATATCGAAAATGGACATGATAAATTATATTTTAAAACTCGTATAATATTAATAATAAAAAATGACGATAAAATACAACGAATATAGTGTTGTATATGCGTCGGCTACCTTAAGTCAACAAGACTGTCGTCTTTCTCAAGTCTTTCGTAAACTCGGATGAATAAATAAATAGAATTTGATGGTAAACATATCCTTGATTGGTTGAGTTCTTCAAACAATGAAAAAAAGAAAACGAATCGTTTTAACATCAATTTCGTAAGAGAAAAGTATCCTCCTTGACAACATAAACAATTATGGTATTATTCAAGATGTAATGGAAATCTTTCATCATCTACATTATTTTTATAATTTTTTGTTTCGGAAGCCCTGGCAACTTTTATTATTGTAAAAGAATAGAATATAAAAAGCTTCGATGTATTGTAACATAATGTTAAAACAAATGCAGTTTTAAAAGACTTTTCTTTTTTATTCAATTATGGTAAGAAATAGTCAAGAAACTTCTTTTTTTTTGTCTAGATTCATTTCTTATGTATTTTATATGTATAGCCAGGAAAAAAGAAAAAAGGCAAAGCGACTAAAAAAAAAGGAGATGGTTCAGCAAGTGGATCTCCGAAAAAGAAAGGCAAATCAAAATCAAAAAAAGTAGCTGAAGTACGTCCAGAAATTGATATTCTATCACCGGCTGCTGTAATCAATTCATATTATATATGTCATGATGTGACGGATTGTTTAACTGCACGAGGTTTTGGATGGGAAGGAGCCAAAAAAAAGAAAGGCAAAAAGAAAGGCAAAAAGAAGAAATAGGAAATATTCTTTTTCTTCATTTATATTATATGAATATACTGGCCTTTATTTTTTTATTTAATTTTATTTGATAAAAACAAGAAAAACAAAGTGCCTTCTATATTTTTTTGTCTTTTTTCTTTGTATTTAACGTAAATAAATAAAATGATATTTTCCACATCACACTGTTCTATTTGAAGTTTAAAAACAAAAAGATTGCTACATTGACGAATACACATAAAGCAAACTACAATCTAAGAAAAAATATACAAACAACCGATATAATAACTTCACTGTTTACAATATAAAGCATAATGTTAAAGATTTTTCGTTTTTGTAATAAAATAGATAGAATTTCTGATGAATATAGATGAAAATACATTATAGAAATATATCAGACAAAGAGAACCGAGATACATTCTATTTTTGTTCATTGAATATCTGGATTATTATCTCTTATTTTAGGAGGTATTGGTACAATAAGATAAGTATAAACTGCATAGTAATGAATTGCAGCGCCAAAAAATACAAAACAATGCCAAATAGCATGTGCAAATGGTATGATACCATCAGATTTAAAGAAAAATACACCGGAGAAAAATATAAAACCGCCAAGTGCCATTTCAAATATACCGTCATGATTAACCTTTAGAAAACAAATGAATTTTTCTTTTTCTTTTTAATTAATTCTATAAACATACCATATCTGCTATAACAATTGCAGGAAAAAGACCAACAATAATATAACAACATGTTTCAACGAATTTATATCTCTCATGATATAATAATTGATAAGTTATACCTAATAGAGACATCGTCCAGACAATAGTTATTGTTGTACTTATTGATATACTTTGTGCTGGACGAAGAAGTAACCTTGATAAGAAAAATAAAATGCTTTAAAAGCTTTTTCTTAAATGTTTACCATGGTGTGTAACTTGAACTAATGAATATATAAATAACAGCTCGATCGATACGATGTAATAGATGTCTTAATCTTGAATCTCTGTATATATAAAAGAGAGAGAGATATGTAGGTTGTTGTTTTTCTTTCAATTCATACCTGTATGTTGGATGAAAACATGAACAATGGAAGATAGTTGAAAATGAGAAAAGTAAAATAAGAGCATTGCCATAAATAATACTACTCCAGTATTCTTCAGTCGTATTTGCTCTTATTACAAGTCGTTGTGCTGCAATAAATGCTGGTATAATCAGACAACCATGTGTAAGACAATTTGCTGCATGTTCTATACACAGGAAAGAAAGAAAGGTGATATCAATATGATCGATATTGAAAAAGAAAATCTACCATATTCTGTAGGTATATATGCTCGATCAGTAGCACGTGCATTCATAAATCGACGCCAACATTTATGTGTTTTTTGTTCATTTAATACTGTTGGTTTTTGAACATCATCAGTACAGGTATTTGTACTAACAGCACGTTTTTGAATATGCATATTAGAAAATAAACTAAAGTAATATATAAAATTTAATAATTAGTTGTTAACCATTACATTTCACTTAGAAGAATATATCATCGAGATACATTCAAGCGATGTAAACACATCAGACCGCGGACGAGTACGTTAGGGGCAAAGGTAAAAGGTTATCAAGAAAAGAAAAAAAACGAAGTCTAGTTTTCTCAGATAATCGATAGATCCAATCATGGCGAACCTATATATTTTTTGTCATTGTCAACAATAGTAGAATAGATCAATCATGTCCGAGTAGAAAATCTTATCAAATAGATTATTTGATAGTAAGATGTCGCACTAGAACTATACACAAAATGAAAGGATATTTTTTTTTTTGCTTTATTACTTTTTTATTATAATATAAATACATTTATATACAATTTAAAAAGGCCGATAAAGAGTTGTTGTTTCAAGTTCGAAGATTGTATGAATATTTGTACCTAAAGCTAGCGCATTTCGAGCAAGTTGAGTTGTTGAATAGTACAAAGCTGCTATACCCATAAAGATTATATATACATTCATATTGTCAGCATAAGGTATAAAATCTGAAAGTGCTTCACCTTGAGTTAGGCAAGTGAGATAATGATCTAATAATCGATTAACTGATTCCTGATGTTGATTTTGTAGTCGATAAATAGTTTGATTAAGTTCAATAAGATACTGTGTATGTTTTGAAAGATCACTTTCATTTAATTTTGTACGTTTAAAACTGAAATTACGAAATATTCGATAAAAACGTGTTTGAGTTAAAGTAAAATATGATGACCATAGACCAACACAATCACTTAATTGTCGACTTAAATTACGAAGTTCATTATGAAGACTAGCAGGAAGAAAACCACCATCAGCATACAATTGTAGTCTTTTGATATGATTTTCACTCGTATTTGAACATTCATGGATACGCAATAACTAAATGGCATTATGTCAAATAGATGATCGAGAAAATTTTTTGTCGACTTACTATGTGGTCAATATTATGTAACATTCGAAACATATCAATTTGCTGCTCTGCCAACATACTATAACGATCAGAAGCGAAACTATTTTTCGACCACCATAAAGTAGGTTCAAGAGCAGTATGCCCGATAAGAGCACGTTGACCACTAATTAATTGATGAAAACGACTACGTTGTGCATCAATAAATGATTTAATTCCTTGCTCATTTTGTTTTTCTACGTCAACAATAGTTACATCTAATTGTTCATTTTCAAATAATTTATCATAGATTGCATGCATTGCATTAATACTTCCTCGACAGAGTTGAAGAGTAGCTAATTATATAATCGAAAAATAAATAAGATTTAATAAATATAAATTTATATTACTGTCAATATTATTTTTTAATACATCAATAGCAAATACTGGGAAAATGGCAATAGTCAGTACAACAGCAACCGCAATACCAATAAGATTTTCTTCTATTCGAAGAAGTGCATAATTACCAGCTGGTAGTGTATCTCCGTATGGTATTCGACCAAGAGTAATTAAAACTGGAGTGAAACAAGCAACGGTAGCGGCATAACCCCACTGAGGTAACGGTTTTAAATAACCAAAAAAGAGTATCCATGGTACTAACATTCCAAATGTATGATAAACATTATCAGAAACTGCTAAATAAGTTATATAAGCCCACATTGCACCTATATAATAATAATTAATATTTAAATACATAGTTATTATAAGAACAACTTACCAAATAAAGTTCCAACTAATCTCATTTTCATTGTTGTTAATGCACCACCTACTGTATCACCTTGTGTCATACAAAGAGCAATTAAAATCCATTGTCCATTTTCAAATACTTTTGCTAAACCAGGTACCATTACAAAAAGTGAGCCAACTCCAATAATAACCATACTTTTAAAAGCTGATACAAATCGTGGCCATTGTGGTTTTAACCATTCCACTAAAGTTCTTCTTTTCTTCTTTTGTTTCTTTTTTCTTTGATCTTTGATTTCTTGAAAAAAACTTTTATTTTCATCACCTGTTGTTACACGCATTAGAATTCGTGCTATAGTTGCTATTTGATAGAAGAAAAATGCATGTGAAAGATGATCTTCAGATCGAATTGTTAATCCAGATTCTAATACATGTTCGACTTGATGAAGACGAGCTTTAATTGAAACTTGACGAAGTGTATCAAGAGCTTGTTTTAAATCTGCCAGACGACCATTGAATTCATCTCTATTAATTGCTGTAGACGACAGTAAACTTGAAATCACTGTTGTCTGACATAAATCAAGATGAACTAGAGTTGCACGAAGTTCTCTTGCATAATGAGTATGATATTCATTGAATTGACATTGTTTAACCATTAACTGAAGTGAACTTGTATGAAACATCAATGACGTAATAAAATCTTCTTGTTCTACAAATTAAAAATAAACATTTAAATATTATTTACAAGACCATATACCTTGGATTGTTAAATCAATAAGATGTCTATGTCGTCGATTAAAAATTCGTTGTAAACATCGTGATGGTTCTAAAGTAGATTCCACAAGTCTTGCAGTTATCAAACTCATTGTCGTACGTATCATTTGTTCAATAGTTGACGCTCGTGCTAATGATACTTGTGCACTCATTTGATCCTCACATAAAAATGCTTGTAGAACTAATGTTTGCATGTTTTGTAAATTTTTAAGACAATAATTAACACGATTTTCGATATCAAAAGTTGCAAAAAGTGGAAAGACAAGAAGAGATACAACTATAGCAACAGCCATTCCAATGACAAATAATTCAAGTAAAATAAAAATAAATGTCGATGGAAGATTAGCTTGATTAACAATTGTTGAAAAAAATATTGCGATAATTAATAAAGCAATTTTTCTATTTTGAACCTAAATAAATTATATCAAAAACATTTTAAACTTAATATTATTAATATTTACTTGTGAACATTTATATGCAACAAATAATGATGAAATCAGTAGAATAAGTTCACCTGCAAGATAATCTTTATATCCAAGACCAATCTTTTGAACTATATAGAGAAAAATTGATATAGGTACAATGGCTGTCAACATTTGATAACAAGCAAATATTGTCATTCCAAATGTTTCCTGTATGGATAACATAGACATAACAGGAATTAAATATTGTAATGCTAATAGATTATTGAATGGAACCCCATAAGCAAGAAAACTACCAACAAGAAATGAAACAGTCATTCGTACAGCAAATTGAATACGTCGAGAAAATACTGAAGTAGTTAATACGGAATGCATATCATATTGATGATAATTAAAATAAAAATGATACATATTTTGAAAGATTGTTGACATAGACATTTTAAATCGAATTGAGTACAAAATCACTGATTTATCGAAGAGAAAGGACGAATAGAATAATAAAAAACCCTATGTACGTCTCTTATTATCATACAATGTTTATTATATATATTTTGATGATACGCTTCAATAGTCATGATGACAAAGCAATTTATAGAATCTTAAAGGTGAAAGTTGATTGTAAAGCAAACTCTTAGTATATAGTTCTAATTTTTTTTAAAACAAACAAGATAATGTAAATGCATATGTTAAATAATCCGGAAACCACCTTGAAGGTGTTGGTGTGGAAGAAGAATACTCACTACTAGTGACTTCAAAGAAATAAGCTTATCAGATTCTTTCTAATATATCCACACCTTTTAGTTGCTATGTCTTCTATGATTAATAAACATTCAATATTATTCAGTTGATTATGTATGAAAGACCATTTATAATGTTTTTTGATTGTAAACTGACCATAAATAGAGGTAGGTACAAGGATTTTTATTATTGTATTATATTATTATATTCAGAATGAGAATGAAGATGAATAGTTGTATATAGCTTTTATTTACACTACCAGCATCAAATGTATCTATATGATTATTTTTATGTTTAACAACGTACAACTAAAATGATCTTTTTGAAAATATTATCTATAGTAATCATTTATTAATTAAAAACATATTCAATTCACTTACGTGTCCACTACTTGAAAGCATTCAGAAAATTAAAAAAATGTAAATTTCTATTAAAATCAAATACATCAAAAATAATGTCCGTTTCATCATTTAAATGTAGTTTTCTTCATTTTTTTATTTCCGTTCATTTTGAAAATAATTCTTGAGGCCATGAGTGTAGATGAATAACGGTTGAGTTATTGACGAATGCAATGTCTCTGCCACTTCAACACCTATACTTACATTCATTTTCTTTTTTTCTCTTGGTTAAGAATGTCTTAGCCATAAGACAAGATTCTTATTTTTATAATTAAAATGACTCGAGCATACACACTGAAATATATCATTAGAGTAATCTTTCGTAGTTTATTAATATTGATTAACTTTTTATTACACAGAAAATGAGATTATTAATATTAATATGAAAATATGATAGTTATTGATAAGATTATTTGTAATTGAAATGTTGTTTATTTCGAACAAAAAAAAAATACAAAGCAAACGCATTTTGCTCAAAAAAGAAAAATAGTGATATGAGATAAAGTGAAATATATACATTATTAGAAAGTCAGTTTGGCACCTATATAATAGATTCATAAGAGTATGTTTAAAAACATTTGATTTTAAGTACAACCAACAATGTGGCTATAAGACCGGTAAGTACGAATGAATAATCATGGGATCGCCAGGCACCATTGCATAAATCTTTGTCTGAACAGCAAGATATCCCAGTTCCAGAGACCCAAACAGTGACAGTTGGGCAAGAAGCAACACATGATCGTGTAATTGTTCCAGCAGCTCCTGCTTTCTATTTTCAAAACAAGAGAATCAGACAATATTTAAAAATAAAAAAAAACAACTGATTCACCTCACACGCGCCACAACTACCCATAGTGGATTGGCCTGACGAGCTAAATGGATCATTGCAGCTACCCGAGCCACAATTGTAGCAGGTTATGGATGCCACCATAGGTAATAAAACTATGAAGAAAGAGATTAATAGAATATTCAGCACATTGTACTTACCCAAAAGAAGAAAAGTGCTAACAGTAGCCCGGTTCATTTGCATTTCGACTTGAAAGTTGTATAAAAGAAATATTAAATATAACAGTAAATGATTTTTTTCTCAACAAAATCCGTTTGATTTATACTATTTCTCTCTCCGCACTTGAACCCGAAGGACATTTATGTACAATTTCACGTGACTTTTTTTTCTGATTGTTTAATAGAAGAAGGTATTGTACAGTGGTGATGAGAAATATGAACGAATAGAAATCTATTGATTACTGACGTCTTACAATGCACACACATGTGATCAACAATAAACACAGACAAAAAGTATAGCGGCAATCAGTGCACTTTTTCATTCAATTGCGTCTTTTGAAATTGGATCGGCAAAGTAAAAATATTTTAAGATGAAAGGGTAAAAAAAGTAATTTAATTTACTAGCGTAATAAAAGTGATAAAAGTAATGGCATCAGATACTATTTAATATATATTGTATTTATCTAGATAATTTCTCTTTATTATAGAACAGTATAATTGATATGGTTTCGTACTGTTATAATTTTCTTATGGGTATTAATAACTTTACTTTGATCTTATTCATAATATACATTGATGTTTGTCTTGAATTAAAAATATATTTCTATATTTATCTTTATGATTATTATAAATACATTAATAATATATGAAAATAATGAAGACATGAGATTTTAATGTAATTTTAAATAAATGAAAATAAATGTAGAATATATAGTAAAAATCTTATATTTTTTAACAATAACGGAAATTTTCGATCATTTTTTGATCATTATCAACCAGAAAACACAATCAAAAGTACAAATAATGAAGTTACAACTACTTGTAATTCATTTATTTAAAATCAGATTAAAATCTCATGTCTTCATTATTAATATTTATACAGTAGATATTCTTACATGAGTTATTAGTAAGTATTATAGGTACATGGATACTCATGTAGATGTTTATGTTGTTAAAGTTTTTCATGTATTTGTATTATTATACTTGTACTATTGTAACCTTATTATATCTTGCATTTTTTGATTGATAATGATTGAAACAAGTTCGAAAATTTCCGTTATTGTTAGAAAATATAAGATTTTCATTTATTTAAAATAAATACATATTTAACTATTTTGGTATACTTTGATTTTTGTGAATATTCTGTACTCTATTCATTCGTAAAAATATTAATCGTCCTTCATGTAAGAATTTATAATGCTGTTCAAGATCAAACAGTAGACAGCATTGATAATGTTTCGATAAAATTTAAATTCTTATTAATTATTCATGTTTTTCACTCCGATCCAACTATTTATGATTACCAATGAATACTAAATGTAAAGTTATTTTTATATTTTATTTCTTTTCAATCAACGATCGACAGTGTTTATCCTTGTACTATGTAATATCAAAAGATATTAAAAAGAGTTATTCAATTGATTAAATACAAAATCAAAGAAAAATAACATCATTTTTTCGACTATTGAATAATTGAATTTATGCCTCTATAACTATATACTATGTTTTATATATTTTTCAATAATATAAAAGCACGTATTGAAATTGTCAATAAAATATAATAGGAATGCTCAATATTTGCTTTATCCATTTCTAAAAGATAAAAAGGCATGTTATTCATATTATTTGATTTACATAAGAAAAATGTGTCACATTGTTTATCTCCCCGCTTTTTGCACATAGTCACATGTAATTCATTTGTTTATTGCTACGTATTTTTATCGTTTCTTTTTCTTTTTCGTTATCTACAGAGAACGAAATCCAATTCAAGTTATACTAATATACTCTTTGCACTACTCCTATATATTTGATAAATTCTGAATAGTCAAAACTCAGTTATTGAAATATGTCTAAATTAAAATCAGTGGCTATTGTTGGTGCAGGTCCATCCGGTTTAGTATGTGCTAAAATTCTGTTAGATGATGGTTTTGATGTAACTCTTTTTGATAAACAACGAGAGTTAGGTGGTATTTGGTGTGCTGAATCAGCATATGCTGATCTCCACACACAACAACCAGGAAATACAATGGCATTTTCTGATCTATTATATGGAGAAGGTAAAGTCTATTGTATTTCTTTTTACGATAATCGAATTATTATATTTATGTTATTCATTTAAGAGTTTGAACCTTGGCAAAAAGTTCATGCTTATCTACAAAAATATGCTGACTTATTTGATATAAACAGGCGAATTCGTTTTCAAACTCAAGTTGTATCTATTGATAAAGATGATATAAAGAATGATACTATGCCATGGATTCTTCAAGTTAAAACAATTGATGGTAAAGATGAAACATACAAATTTGACTTTGTCGTTATAGCTACTGGTCTTTTTTCTAAACCTTATATGCCTAATTTTCGTGGTCAGAACAAGTTTAATGGATCTATTGTTAATCCATTTACCATCAAATCAGAAGATCAAATCAAAGATAAACGTGTTGTCATTATTGGTGGTGGCAAATGTGCAACTGATCTAGCAATCTTGGCTGGACGTTTTGCACGCTCATGCCATTTAGTATTTCGAAAAGCACATTGGATGACACCACGTAAAATTGGTAATGGTTATGTACCAGTACGATATTTATGCACCAAAGCAGCATCCGTTATTTTCACTCCATTTCCAACTGCTCCACATACTGCTCTATTTCGTTTTCTTCATCGAAGATTTCCAAATTTTTTTATAAAAATTATCAATAGTATATCTGCTGACATAATGGCTACTCATGGATCTAGTTTATTCGATGATAAAATATTTATTCCTCAACATTCATTTCAAAATGAAGACAACCTTTCAATAATATCAAAAGATTTTGTACAATTAAAAAAAGAAGGACGTATCATTGGAAAATTAGCGTCTATCGATGCGATTACGGATGAAACAACAATTCGACTTGATTCAGGAGAAGAATTACAAGCTGATATGATTATTTGTGCCACTGGTTTTATTCGAGAATTTCCTTTCTTTTCTGAAAGAAATCATCAACTAATGGGCTTTTCAAAAATATCCGTCGCAGCATCTACAGATGAAGATACAATAACAAATCTTTATCGTCGAATTTTACCGGTTGGAATACCAAATATAGGTTTCATTGGTTTTGGAGGATCAGTATATCATTGGATGATAGCTGAAGTCACAAGTCATTGGCTATCGGAATATTTTCTCGGACGACTTATTTTACCTTCCGAAACAAAAATGCAAGAAGAAATCAAAACAACACGTGAATTTCTTCGACATATTTTTCATACAGTTGATTTTGATTATAAGTATTATTGGGCAGGACCAATAGAAATGTATTTAAAAGATATGGGACTTACACTACATAGAACAAACAATTGGATAACTGAATATTTTGGATTTTATCGATCAACACGTTTCAGAGGATTAGGTGAAGAACGACGAATAAAAGCTGAAAAAGGGGTTACACCGTATCATTGGTATTATAGTTTTAAACATACTATTTATCTTTTTCTTCTTCTGATTCTTCTTTTCTTCATATTTAATTAAGTTCTTATAGAATACTTTTAAAGTACAATAGAAATTATTCTAATAAAATAAATCAAAAAAAAATGAATAGAAAAAATGTAAGGAATTGCATGGTATTTGAGTTTGTGTTTGTCTATATGTGATGATAATAAATATTACGAGAACCAATTATTGAAATCTTTTTAAGTTATTTAACTGGTATAAAAATATTTTCTTTTTTTAATTAAAAGGTAGAACTATAATTCCCATGTAGCCGATTTTCGAAATAATGGACATTATAATGCATTATATTACTATAGAAAGCTAATGGGCGTAATTACATGATAATGCAACCTATTTCATACATTTAAATGGATTAAATTAATCAGTACATTATCATACAATTACGTCCAGTACATTTTTAATCCGTTATAATGTATGAAAATTTTCTTGAATTCCAATGAATTAAAATCTCGTTTTATAAATCCATTCTAACGCATTGTAATCTTCAATCTTTCTAAAACTTAATACACTCTAATATATTAACTTTATTAAATACGTCAAATCACAATATGGACTTTATTTATTTATGATCTGAACTCCCATATACCCATTAACAACAGTAATCTAGAAAAACGCAGAAACTTTCTGAAATCTATCGTCCCTAACGGTATTTTCTATAATCATGACCATCGTGAGGATGTGGGTGAGCTTCCTCAATGAGAGATGAATTCAGTATTCATTGCACCCACATCCATCTACTGACATCTATACCTACACCCCATCCTCAAGATGGTAACTTTTTTCTCCAACTACGCATTTTATTGTGAAAGAATGTGCAATGATTAAAGAGAAAACATTCATGGTCCACAACAGAAGAAATGTTATTGCAAAGAAAGAGAAAAAGATTCATATAGAATGAAATGAATTTTAGTGCTGTGCAAATAGATATTGTTGACACGGAACTGTTTTCTTCTTAATAGAGAAAAAATATTCTTCGAAAAATAAAAAAATTTGATGAAATAGAAATAAACATGTTATTCCTCTAAATGTTTTTTATCGACAGTTTAATCAAAGAAAATTTTGGTAGACAGAAGAATTTCGTCGTGGTTGTGTGAAGGTGAGGTGTGGACGTGAATATAATTATATCTTTTCTTCATATACAATCACCCACACCCACTCTCACGACGGTGCAGCATTGTCTCAAGGATTGGTGTCCATATCAGCGTTGTAAATGCCACAGCATAATCTTCAATACTTCATTTGAGTATTGACTTTGTGGTGCTTTTTTGTAGTTGGAATAAACTAACTGCTGATAGTCAACAAAATGTGCTATTCTCCATGTGCTTATCGGACTTGTTTTGCGCAAATAAAAGCAACTATTCAAGTGTACCTGATGCAAACACATCGTCTTTTTCGCGAAAAAGAAGAAAGAAAAAGTAGACAAAGCAAGTAACTTTTCTCTGGTCTGTACGGATGATTTTTGCGTCTTAAATAGAAGGTATCGTCTTTTCTCTACAGTTAGGTCTCCATCTTATAGTAGAGACAGGACGAGGGAGTTTTCTTCAGCATTAAGTATCAGAAGGAGGACAAATCCGTTTTTACCGAAGTTTTTAGGATATTATAATAACTATAAGGTCCAAATACTGGTATTTGATTATTCGATACACACCAGTCCACTGTAGAAAATTACAATAAAACGAGTATAACTTAAGAATAAATATCCAAATAACCGTACTCGTATAGACTTCTCGAGTCTCACTGGGTCCTATTCATGGACAAAATAACAGCTTGACCGCCGTAGCTAGCTCAAAACGTTTTCTCATAAGTCTATTTGAGACTCACGCAATGAAAATTACAAGTGATTATCAGTTTTCACTATAGATTTATTAATAGAAGGTGGGAACGTCTAAATCCAAATGGAAATTAATTGGTTATCCGAAAAAAGTTTTCATGAATTCTGTATCTCTCACTCAAGAATTAGACAGACCTGAAGTATTTTTCTCGTTCTTTCAAAAAATGGTAATTATCGCTGTATCCAGAATCATGCACAGAGTGTTTCTTTACAAGAATTTCTTGAAAAAAGAGGACCATGACAGTGCCTGATCGGAAGAACTTTTTTCTCTTTAGTTTAAATCATCAGAACTCGACATTTGTGTCACCTGAACAGCATGGTTATGTAAATGGCGCCTACTTCCCATACATTTCTCTCAATACTCGCAAAATATTGAACTGTTACACAACAGGCTTGGTACTTGTTATGTTTCCTGAAAGAAAGAGTTACATCGCAGAAAATATCCCACTCCGTCTATACTTGTAAAACTTTAAAAATTGTTTCTAGTTAACAGTGGTAGTAATAGTATTGTCCTCATCTGAGTATTCGTGTTATCTTTCTTTTTAGATAAATACTGTGACATCGCATCTGAATGTCATCGCTTTTCAAATCACTGAAGCTGACAACATTCCATAAATGTACAAACTGTAAAAAGAAAATATCTCCAACTGATGAATTAGCAATTGGTGAAAAAATGTTTCATAAAATCTGTGTAAAATGTGGTATGTATTCGTTATTCTACTTTGAGGCAGCATAGCTAATTTTACTGAAATTTGAATATATAGATCTCTGCAAGGAAAATCTGAAAAAAACGGATGTCATCGAGGATAACGGAAAGATTTATTGTCATGCATGTCACGGGAAAAAGTTAACATGTTCTACTGAAGATCATGAAAAGAGTTCGATTTTAGTGTAAGTTTGAAAAAAATTACTGTTTTTCGATTCTAAACTTCATAATTATCTTACAGGAGTGGCACGGCTTGTCAAGTTTCGAAAGATCTTTCCAAAACATTAACAAATTGCAGCATTTCAACCGAAGATGATAAACCATCGTTATTACCTAAACAAGTAAACAAATCGACCAACCTTGAAACATTTTCACTTATATGGCTAGATGCCAATGTTCACATAACAAAAGACAATATTGATTCACAAGTAAAATTGAGAGAAGCAATCAACTTTTTACAAATATTTGACAAAGCTGATGAATGTGAACAAAATATAAAAAGCATCAAAAATGAAAAAGTTGTGTTTATCGTATCAGGAAGACTTGGACGAGAAGTTGTACCGCGTTTGCATAATTTACCGCAGTTAAATTGCGTTTATGTTTATTGCTTCGACAAGGCTGGCAACAAACAATGGTCAGACAAATATTCAAAGGTATTAATCATAGTAAATTTTCATCAGTTCATTCGTTATTTGTTATAGGTAAACGATGTCTTTACCGATCTAGATGAACTTATTAAACGCATTACAAAAGATCAACAGGTACGCGAAAAAGTAGAAGACTCGGTGGCAATATCAATTTTTAACCGATCGGATAAAGAATGTACACATAAAAATCTCAAATCTGAAAATGGTTCATTTATGTGGTTTCAGTTACTTATTGAAGTGTTAATTTCTATGCAACACAATTTAACAGCAAAAAAAGAATTAATTAATGTTTGCAAACAACAATATCATAATAATTCAAAAGAGCTGGCGGTTATTAATGAATTTGAAAATTCTTATTCTTCCTCGAGAGCTATTTGGTGGTATACGAGAGAAACCTGTTTATATCGTCTTCTAAACAAGGCTTTACGTGTTCAGAATATAGACGTATTATTTGCTTTTCGCTTCTTCATTAAAGATATGTTTACAAATCTCAATGAAGAACATAAAAAGTTCAAACGTTCATTAACTGATCAACTTATTCAGGTATATCGGGGACAAGTTATTTCGGCAGACGAATTTGATCGAATGCATAAAAGTATCGGTGAATTTATTTCGATAAATTCTTTCTTTTCAACTAGTCGAAATCGAAAACGAGCTCTTGAATTTACCAACAATATACCACCAAGTGATAGTATAAGGCAAATTTTATTTGATATTAAGGTCGATATTCGTTTATCGACTAAACCATTCGCTGATGTGACGAAACTGAGTTATTTTGAAGAGGAAGAGGAGATACTTTTTATGCTTGGCTCGGTGTTTAGAATTACCAACGTTGTTTACAGCAAACAAGAGCAGGTATGGGTTGCCGAATTGATGTTATGTAATGAAAATGATCACGATTTAAGAGATTTATTTTCTTATCACAAAGAGAAAATTGGGAAAGACTTATCAAATTTTGTTCCGTTAGGAGATATTTTATTTAAAATGGGAGAATTCGATAAGGCCAGACAATACTATAAACGTATTCTAACTGAATTATCGACAATTGATCTATCTACTGCTAGTTGCTATTTTGGATTAGGTAACGTTGCAATCGAACAAGATCAGTATCCTGCAGCACTCGCTTACCATCTTAAAGCTCTGGATGTCAAACAGAAATTCTTAGATGAAAATGATCCAAGAATAGCGTCAAGTTATAACCAGATCGGGGCGGCTTATCGACGATTAGGCGTTTATGATCGCGCTCTCGAGTACGCCAATATCGGTTTAGAAATGAGATTAGCATGTCTCGACAGCAATGATGTTGACCTAGCGCAGAGTTATCGTGATATCGGACTTGTATATTACCGACTGAGCGAAAATAGTCTAGCATTGGAAAACTTCACGAAAGCACATAAAATCTATGTCAAAGCTTTACCGGAAAATCATCCTGATGTGGCAGAAAATTTAGGCTATATTGGCTATGTTTATAACTCTACTGAAGAATACGATCTAGCCCTTGAATATTACAAAAAAGCGCTAGATATTGATCGAAAGTCTTTACCGGAAAACCATCCAGACATTGGTGTTATCTCCGGGGCTATTGGTAACGTTTTTTACGAGCAACACGATTATGTTTCCGCAATCGATTACTTTAATCAAGCACTGGCAATATTTCGCAGGTCTTTGCCACCAACTCATGAATTTACGGAAAATGCTGAAATGCGTGTAAAAAATACACAACGGATGTTATTGACGACAACACAGAAGACAGACTAGGTGTATCACAAATACTTTATTTTCGCATACACAGTCATTTTTATACTACTTTGCCAGTTTTCTTTTCTGCGCTATTATTCGAACGCCTTTTTTTGACTAGTGTTTCATCTCTTATTAGTTCGCATAAATACAGTAAAATTTCTATTACTAAACACCTCTCATCGACTGGGTGTAGGTGTGAGGGACGGAGTAGGTTTAAGTATTATATTAAATTCTCATTCATACTCACACCTTTCTAAAACTATTTCTTTATATAACAAACATTGTATGTATCAAAGCAATATAATCTTTCCATTTGATTACAATCAATTTTGATTTTGTTTGATTTTGATTTTATTGTTTTTAGATTTCAAATTAATTTATCTTAAGCTGCAACGCCACCTAATGAATCTCTTGAACAAAGACGAACCCATTCATAGCAGTTCTTCATACCCCCATCCGCACCCGAAACCTGTTTTCTCGAGAAGTGATAAGCAGAACAGAAAAATTTTTGACTGTTGGATGTCTACCGAAGCATACATGGAGAAGAACGAATCCATTTTCTCAAGTAGTAGGATAGAGAAAAACATTGAGCTATTTTACGCAATCTCGATGGTGTTATGTCATGAAGAAAATGTGTTTTTTTCGTTCTTTTCAGAAAGTATGAAGAAAAAGAGTCCACCTCTCTTGGACTTTTTTTCAATGCCTATTTTTTCGAGACGCGACGAGCAGAACGGAAAAATAATTGACTGTTCGATGTGTATAAAGACATAGACGAAGAAAACGAATGTATTTTTTCGAGTAGCAGTACAAAAAACAGCATGGCCTTTCAAGATGTATCGTCGACGAATCTTTTGACAGTCAACGAAGTCACCAATGAAAAGTTCGAAGAAGTCGATGCGGAAGGTGGAACACTGCTACTAGATAACAGACGGATATGCGAATCAGCAAAACATCGTATTCCTGGATTTGCTCAGGGTAGCGGCTCATATTCATCAGGTATTCATCGTATTCGATTTAGAATACTTCGTGGCTTTTTATTTGTTGGCATTCGTTCACGAAATCTACCAGTTCAAGTGGATGATCATGGTGAAAACAGATCGTATAATAAGAACAGTTGCACATGCGGTTGGTATAATAACGGTCCCAGCTGAGTTCATGGTAAATTTAAAAAAACACATTTGGAAGGGTCATTGAATGCTAATGATATCTACGTATTGACATTGAACTGTGATGAACGGCGATTAAGTATAACGTTACCAAATGGTCCACAACACGATGAAATAGAAGTTGATCTTGTGCATACACCTTTTCCTTGGCGTTTTTGTGTTATGCTTACTCGTATCGGTGGCTGCTTATCATTAGAATAAACGCTCTGATAAAGAACGCAGAATCACTCGAAAATTGGTCCACCTATATTTAAAAAAAAACTTAAAAAAACCATTTATTTTTGGAAGTCTTTTCTCCACTAATATAAATAAATCCGAGAGTGTCGCTGTGCCTAGGGTGTAGATGTAGGTATTATATTTATTTTTTAGTCAAACCCACACCCAAACTTGTACCATCTTATTTAATATCGTCGATTTACTTTACCTAATTTCATTCGCTTATTTCTTTTTGGAAGTTCATATTATTCAACATAAAAATACGACATCTTTTGCTGAATCTAGATCGATACCATTGCATCAGTTAACGTGTCTCTTTGTTAGACACAAATAAAATTCTATTCATTTATTCACCATTAATAATGCACATGAGGTTAAACGTGCAAATGTCTCAGAAATATTTATACCTCCACTAACATTCTATTTTAGATGAATATATATTGAAAATTTCGATTTGTAGTTATGATAGAATAGGAGAGTTTAAAATAACATCTTTCGAATATCACTAGCATTTGATTAGATTCAATAAGGATAATTGCAACGCGTTTTGCTAGCTTTTGATTAATTCTTTATATTAATCTCACACCCACACTCATCCTCCCATTGGTAACCGAGACACTGCTATCGAGTGTGCTATGTCATGAAAAAAATGTGCTTTTTTCGTTCTTTTTAAGAAGTGCGAAGAAAAAAGTCCATATCTCACGCATTTATTTTTATGCGATGCCTATTTTATTAAGAAGTGAAGAGAAGAACAGAAAAATACTTGCCTGTTGGATGTGTGTATAAAGGCATAGACGAAGAAAAACGAATGTATTTTTTCGAGTAGCAGTACAAGAAGACAGCATGGCCTTTCCAGATCTATCTTCAGCGAATCTTTTGACAGTCAACGAAGTTACCAACGAAAAGTTCGAGGTAGTTGATGCTGAGGGTGGAACACTCTTACTAGATAACAGACGGATATGTGAATCAGCAAAACATCGTATTCCTGGATTTGCTCAGGGTAGTGGCTCATATTCATCAGGTATTCACCATATTCGATTTAAAATACTTCGTGGCTTTTTATTTGTTGGCATTCGTTCACGAAATCAACCAGTTCAAGTGGATTTCTCCGGTGAAAACACCCAGTATCTTAACAGCAGCTGCATATGTGGTTGGTACAATAACAGACACAGTGTAGTTCATGGTACACCAAAAAAAACAGATCTGAAAATGTTTGCTAATGCCAATGATATCTACGTGTTGACATTAAACTGTGATGAACGACGATTAAGTATAACATTACCAAATGGCCCACAACACGATGAAATAGAAGTTGATCTTCTTCGTACGCCTCTCCCCTGGCGTTTTTGTGTTATGCTTACTCGTCTCGGTGGTTGCTTATCATTAGAATAAACGCTCCGATAATGAACGTAGAATCACTCGACAATTGATCAACTTATAATTAAGTACAGGTGTTTGGAAAAAGAAAACTTGAAAAAACCAATTTGTTTTTAGAAAAGTCTTTTCTCTGCTAATATAAACCAATCCAAGAGTGTCGATGTGACTATCTACTAGAGGGTGTGTGTCTGGGGTGGGATGTGAGGTTAAAAGGAAGAATCCATCAAGGACTTACAAACGGATTCTGATTGCGCTTATTGAATCTTGCCACTTGCTGGTGAAATGAAAAGAATGCTAGGTTGTGCGTGTGGATATCTTATTTATTTTTCAGTCAGACCCACACCCTCTCGTTGGTAGTCGGAACACTGCCATCGAGTGTGTTATATCATGAAAAAAATGTGCTTTTTTCGTTCTCCTTAAAAAGTGTGAAGAAAAAGAGTCCATATTTCACGCATTTATTTTTTTGCAATGACTATTTTATCGAGAAGCGAAGAGAAGAACAGAAAAATACTTGCCTGTTGGATGTGTGTAGAAGCATAGAAGGAGAAGAACGAATGCATTTTATGGAGCGGCAGTACAGAAGACAGCATGGCCTTTCAAGATCTACCTTCGGTAAATATTTTGACAGTGAACGACGCTACAAATGAAAAGTTCGAAGAAATTGATGCTGATGGTGGAACACTCTTACTAGATAACAGACGGATATGTGAATCAGCAAAATATCGTATTCCTGGATTTGCTCAGGGTGGCGGATCATATTCATCAGGTATCCACCGTATTCGATTTAAAGTACTTCATGGCCATTTGTTTTTTGGCGTACGTTCACGAAATCTACCAGTTCAAGTGGATGATCATGGTGAAAATAGATCGTATAATAAGAACAGTTGCACATGCGGTTGGTACAATAACGGTCCAAGCCGAGTTCATGGTAAATTTAAAAAAACACATTTGGAAGGGTCATCGAATGCTAATGACATCTACGTATTGACGCTGAACTGCGATGAACGGCGATTAAGTATCATATTTCCAAATGGTCCACAACACGATGAAATGGAAGTTGATCTTGTTCGTTTGCCTTTCCCTTGGCGTTTCTGTGTTCAGCTAAATCGTCTTGGTGGTTGTTTATCATTAGAATAAATGCTCCGATAAAGAACTCAGAATCATTCCAAAAATTGGTCAGTCTATATTTAACTACATGTGTTTGGAAAAAAGCTTGCAAAAACAATTCATTTTTTTTTGGAAGTCTTTTCTCTACTAATATAAACAAATTCAAGAATGTTGGTGTGACTATCTACCATGATGGCGATTTTGACCTTGCTAAAGATTCTCATCAGATGGCAACATTCTTAATTTAATTGAGACAAAACTCAGATTTACGTCAGAACGATCTAATGGTGTGGGTGTAACAGTATTCTATTCCTTTTACACCTACACCCTTGAGATAGTGAAGATAGAACATGCACATATAGAAAAGAAAAAGTAGAGACACATACCAATCAACGGTTACTATACTACAGAAACGTCAGATTTTTACATTTATTCTGTGAATTTGACTTTCAGTCGTTTTAATGACGATGTCAAGTTAATTATATTATAAAAACTCATTGGACAACTGTTTCTTTGGCCATTTAAAAGAAGAAGAAAAAGTCAATAGCTAATACGGTGAATACCTGACGTTGTTTCATCTCACGAAACATCTGTTTTCATGAGACAGCTGTTTTAAAAAAGGAAAGTTCCCATCATACCAATAACGAATATATGCAAGGCAAGTATAGTGATAAAAAGCATATTTTTTTTCCAAGACTGTAATTATTTTTGAAAAATTGTGATCCTACTCGATAATGTGTGCCGAATTCTATCTGAAGAATATGGCATGTTGAACATGATACATGATAAGCTCAAGTATAGATTATAGACAGAAAGAAGAAAACTACTTTTTATCGAAAGATTTTTCTGCTAACAGTACACGGCAGTTTCATTACCACCAAATATCGACTACACTTTAGAAATGGCATCCACTAATGTTCCAATAGTGCCTTCTGTCTTCTCAGCATTAAGTACGAGCAACAATTTGGAAACATATTCTCTTATATGGGTTGATAGTTCGGTTCATTCAATTGAGAATCGTAATGCTCAGCAACAGCTTCGCTCGACTATTAATCATATACAAGTATTTGAAAATATCATCGAATGTGAGTCTTACATTCGTCAATCAGAACATGATCAGATTCTGTTGATTGTTAGTGGACAGCTGGGATCTGTCATTGTTCCACTTATTCATTCATTGAGACAAATCAATTCAATATATGTCTACTGTTTAAATTCAAGTAAACATAAAAGTTGGTCATCAAAATTCATCAAAATTCGATCAATAGTTACAGATTTAAATGAACTAATTGTGGAAATCAAAGTGGATCGAAAAAGAAGAGAGAAGTTGTTTGATGAACCGTTACCTATCAGTATATTCAATTCTGTTTCCAACGAAGAACGTTCGTCAACGAATATCAATGGCGGCTTTCTTCATTTTCAACTTCTCGTTGATGGTCTACTTCGTCACCGATACAGTCAGACAAGTCGAGATGAGTTTTTACACCTATGCAAAGAGAAATATGGGGACAATGATTATGAGTTGTCCATACTACGGGAATTTGAACAATCTTATACTTCAGAAACAGCTATATATTGGTATACACGACATTCATTTTTGTATCGAATGCTCAATAAAGCTTTAAGAGTTCAGAACGTCAATGTTCTGTTTCTGTTTCGATTCTTTATTCAAGATTTATATCAACAGCTCGAAAGACTACAACGTGAACAAAATCAAACATCAATTCATGTTTATCGAGGTCAACTTATATCAAAACAAGAACTATATGTTTTGAAAGAATCAAAAGGAAAATTGATATCAATGAATTCATTTCTATCGACAAGTCTTTCTCGACAAAAATCTCTTTCATTTATTTCATCTAACCATGATGATCTTTGTCCTGTTCTATTTGAAATCGATGTCGATCCTCGTTTATCTTACGAAGCGAAACCATTCGCCAATATTAGTTCCAAAAGTAAGTTCGTCGATGAACAAGAAATTCTATTTATGATTGCAACAATCTTTCGTCTTATTGATATTCGTCAACAGGATGAAATTACTATTATTCAAATGGAACTATACAACAGAGCTTATGATAATGATATGAAAAGTCTTTTTAAATATATGCAAAAGGAGAGTGAAGGATACGATGAACGTCTTTCGCTTGGCCATATATTGCGTACTGCAGGAATGTATGATGACGCTGACCAATTCTATAACCGAATGTTGAATGAATTAGCAAACGATGATCCATTGATGGCCGACCTTTGGGGTTCCATGGGACTTGTGAAAAAAGCAAAAGGAGAGATGGAGATCGGTTCTCAGTGGTTCAATGAGGCCTTAAAAAGATTTGAACAAATAGGAGACCGGTATGGATTTGCAAAATGTCTACACAATCTGGCACAAATTCATCAAATGAAAGGAGAACTCCATCAAGCAATTAATAAATACAATGCAGCATTGAATATATATCAAGAATTGTTTGGTGAACAAGATGAGTCAGTTGCTCATTGCTGGAATAATTTGGGCGTAGCTTATTTCGAGGAACGCAATTTCACTGAAGCAATTCGATGTTATATGGTTGCCTTGGATATTCGAAAAACCATTTTACCACACGCACACCATGATATTGCAATGACAGTTAACAACATGGGCAATGTTTGTTTTGCTACTCATGAATATGATCAAGCGCTTCAATATTTTGAGCGAGCATTGGATATATATAAAATATCATTGCCATCCGAACATCCAACTATTGCACAAACTTACCAGAATATGGGTCTAGCTTACTTAAAAAAGAAAGAGTA